TACATACATACATACATACATACATACATACATACATACATACATACCATACATACCATACAACACAATTAACCCAATCCAATACAATACAACACATACAATCCATACAACTCATATATAAGTCTGTCTACATGACAAAAGAAAATAACATGTCCTCTAACTGCGAAAACTTTGAGAACACACCTCTTTCCAGGACTTCTTTCAAAAGTCCTTTGTGCATTTCAGTGCCCACGACTGTGTTCGCTCCATCCCTTTGTTGACTGATGGCTTGAAGCCATCCCAGAGAAAAGTGCTGTGGTGGGCAATGCGAAACCTCAAGAGCGAGCAGAAGGTTTCGCAAATGGTGGGTTTGGTTTCTTCAGCAACCAGCTATCACCATGGGGAGCAATCCTTGGTCCAGGTGATCGTGTCGCTTGCACAAGACTTTGTCGGAACCAACAACCTGAACCTGCTTGAACCGTTGGGGATGTTTGGCACTCGCCTGAACGGTCCGTCGGTCCATGCCAGCGAGCGCTACATTCACACGAAGCTCTCCCCGCTGGTTCCCTACATTTTTCGAAAAGAAGACCTCGGTCTGTTGGAGCCTCAATTGGAGGAGGGCCACGAAATCGAGCCATTAATGCTTTTGCCTATATTTCCATTGGTCCTGGTAAATGGCTTCCTGGGCATTGGCACTGGATGGGCGACATCTGGTCCCAACTTCGATGTGTTGAAGGTGGTTGACCACCTTGTGCAACTGATCAAGGGAAACGAGCCTGCACCTTTGGCCCCCAGCTATAGAGGCTTTAAGGGAACAATCGAGTATTCTGATTTGAGATGGTCTTCGAAGGGTGTTTGGCAGGTCCACGAGGATGATGACATAGACGAGAGTTTGCTGGTAGTGGAGATCACAGAGTTGCCAGTGAAAGTATGGACCGACGACTATATTTCTTGGCTGGAAGACAAGGCAAGAAAGAAACGCATTTCCCTCAAAGTCTTCAAGTGCAGTGACCACGATGACCAGAATGTCCATCTCGTGCTTGGTCTTGATCGAGACAAGTTCCCCGATGAGGTGCCGGATAATGTCTTGGGCAGATTCCTCGGCTTGCAAAAGCCGTTGCGATCAGATATGTGGCTTTATACCCAAGCTGAGGCAGACGTAGCGAAAATCGACTTGCAAAAGTTTGAGGATGCTTCAGAGATTGTGAAGACCTTCTATCGCTTTCGTCGACCCTTCTATGAAAAGCGCAAGGAGCGAATGATGCAACAGATCTCTCACCAGGTTCAGCTCCTGAAGAACCAAGTGCGATGTATCAAGATGTTTCAAGATGGGTCGCTGAGCCCTGAGGATCTTTGTGAAAGTGGCTTGGAAGAACACGGCTTTGATCGCATGCAAAGCACGTTTTCGCCCCAGAAGTCCGATGGATTTCAGTACATCCTCCGAATGTCCTTGGGAAGTCTTGGACGTTCTGGTGAGGGGCCGAAGCTGAAGGAGAAGCTCATCGAGGTGAAGAAGGAGCAAGAGCGGCTGAGCCACTTGGACGCGGATGAAATGTGGTTGGAAGATTTGGAAAACTTCCGTGCTCAATACGAGAAGGCTCAACCACCATTTGCGGAAAGACAGCTAAAAATCAGCAGGCTGAGCCGAGAAGATCGGCGGAAGGCCTTGCGTGAATTCAATCAGGAAAGGCGACGGCTCAGCAGCAATACACTAGACTTGAGCCTCAGCACCTTGGAGAGGATGACCACTCCAGAATTGCATGCGATTGGCCAAGAACTTTGCATCAACATGATGAATGCATCCAGCAAGCAGGATTACATTGATCTTTTGCTTCTTTACAGCTCCATTGGCTTTGTCACGCAGAATTGGGAAAAGCTGCCCATGCAGGATTTGCAGGCACATTTGCGGGTCAGAAAGCTACCACAGGTCGGGGCCCGAGCGATGCTGATAATGCGCCTAAAGTCAGCACAGCCTGTGACAGTCCGCTTCCGAGCTGCAAAAGATGACATGAAGGAAGCACTCCGGGAAATGGGTGTGTGGGCAGTAGGGTCAGTCACAGAGCTGGAACATCGCTTTTCAGTGGTGCGCCTTCGACACATCGAAGAGGACCAAGCTGTTCGGAATCGAATTGGTGAAGTAAAGCAGCTGCATGATCTAGCAGGCCATTCACGGGTGCGCAGAAGGCTTGTACACTGTTTTGCCCGGGCCCGGTGTGATGACCTCCCTGCGGCTCGTCGTGGTGGTCTGAAGAAGTACCGGCTCAAGAAGGAAGAGCAGTGCTGGGTTGAGAGCATCAAAGCCAAGCGGATAGAATATTCAGTGGAAGGTTCAATTGCTAATGCTCCGCCAGAGTTCTTTGAGACTCTGGCAACGTGTTTTGAGGTGGAATGTGGCACGAGAAGTGGCACAAGAAGATGAGAATCAGTACAGTGGGGCAAGGGGGAGAGTGGTGAGTGGGGCGCTGCTCTGTTGAACCGACTTGATGTCAACAGAAAAAGGACTCAAGTCGACCAATCTCTGTTGTCCTTCCTGGTGTTGTGCTTGTTTGTTCTTGCAATTGTCACTGAAAGTGAATTGGACCGCAGGCCTCTGAGGATGCAAAGCGCCCAACCCGGCTTAGAGCAGAAGCTCTGGCTTGCTTAGAGAATCCAGAAGGTATATATATATATACACACACACACACACACTTTTTTCATGTTGAGTTTTGTGACGTGCTTGATGTTTCCAGGGAAGTATAGGAACAGCCTCTGACATAGTGAAATCTCAAGTCGAAGAAACCATGTCAGATTTGCGGACTGCTTTTGCGACGAGAGGCCTTGCCTGCATTTGGCAAATTTGGACCAACAAAGTTCCAAGCCCATGTCAACTCCAGTGCAGGTGGCTGACTTGCGGCACATTGGCACTTCTTTGGGCTTAGAACGCCTTGCCCGTCTTTGCGATCAGTTCCACAGCTGTCTTTGGTTTCTTTGGAGATGTTCCAACAATCTCAACGTGTCTTCTACACTCTCACTACGGTGTTTTGAGCATGCCCTTGAGCCGAACTGAAGGCTTCTGCTGCGACTGGATGCTCCTGGCGCTCCTGCACTCTTCGTGCCAGCTTCGTCAATTGGAACCACAATGCCGTCTCCCTCAGAGAAGATCAGCATGTTCATATGGCAAGATGTGGGTTGAGGGATCCCGATTACATAGACACCGAGAAAGAATCGCCGCCGTTCCGAGGTGGACCTTGTTGCGGCAGACTTTGCGACCACCTGAACGGGATGGCCCGGATACTGAACTCCTTTGTTCTCCTCCACAGTACGTGCCCAAGCGTTTTCTTTGAAAACATAAAGTCACCAAATGTGAGAAGTGCTAGGGCCCGCAGACAGCGGTGGGGTCCTCGATGGCTACCCAAGAGTGGTCACCTGCAAGGACATTCCTTTGCAGGAGCCTTATTTGCAAGAGAGTCCAATTCGCCAGGAAATCATTTCTAGGGTCTTCTTTTTTCAGTAAGGTTTTGTGCGCCGGCTGTATGGAACTGCAGCGGGAACGAAGGCAAAAGAGGCTTCAGCTTCTCACTGTTTTGTGACGCGTTCGGACGCGTTCAGGGCACCTGATGGACCAGCAGAGCTGGCAGGAGGTGGTTGGCCAGAAGCTCAGATTTTTGGTGCAAGGCTGCCAAGGCTCATGACGAGGATGAGATTGCATGTTGATGCTTGATATCACCATGACTGCATCGCATGAGGCTTGGACAGACTTCGGATGTTTCTGCAAGCTTGTCTTCTAGAGCGGTATTGCGTTTGCAGCACCGCAATGGAGGTGGTTCTAACCCTAGCATCGGGCCACTTGGGGGGCCCTAGCATCGGTTCAACTGCTTCCGAGGTGGTGGAGCTCCGAGGTATGAATTGGACCTACGTGACTACACTGCTGACATTGTCTTTGCCTGGTTGCGTTATTTGTACACACAGGTGCTGGAAGGGGTCCTTTGGGGACATCCAACTGTCTCAGGGGTTCTGGACCTTTGAGACAGGTTCTTCCCTTGATGTTTTTCTCCTTACATTCCGATTTGTCAGGATGACTTGGAATTGACCTGGCCGCTGAGAACAACACGTCAAAATGCTGAGGCATGGTGATGGTGTTTGCCTTTGACACAATCTTTGTCAGAATGTAAATGCAAAGCCAGCTAGAATTCTCCAAAGTGAATTGAATGGCCTGGAATGTTCTAAAAGAATCAAACAAAGGCAACTCTTGAAACACCAAGTTGGAGGCTGCCGAACAATGGTGGATGCAGCTCTTTCAGCTTGGACAGTTGATGGGAGATTGGAAGCTGCAGCTGTATGTCCAGGAGAGTTCACTGCCCTCGTTCTTCACTTGTTGCTGGTGTGTCTACCATTGGGGACTAGCGGCCAGCGGACATTCTGTGTTACAATGATGAATACCATTGACATACGAATGGTGGTCATCTACGGTGTTGCCCTCTTGAGGCAGTGGGGTGAAAGGGTTTTGGCGGGGGAAGCGGGGCCCAGTCATGGCTAACTAGGTTGGAGGTCCTTAGAGCATTGACTGTTACTGTTACAGTTACGCTTCTTTGGCTATGAGGCCAGGCCATGCTTATTCAGTGCTAGTGGTAGTTTATTGTCAGTTTGTGTTGCTGTTTTTGACGGTGTGCAACTGCGCCGCAACAAGCCCACAGTAGCCAGATGGCCAGGTGCACCAAGTCAATGAGAGATGGGCAGATTTGCGCAGACGCATAGACATGTAGACATGCATCTGCATATGTATCTTCGGAAACGCATGGAATGTTGGACACCAAAATGCAGACAGGCTTGAGGCATGTGCCAGTGAAAGGAGCAATGGGTATCAAACAGTTATATATATATATTTTTAAACACGATTCTTTTCCGTGCCAATGCGTGCTAAAAGAGTTGGCGGATGTCTTGGGAACCGCCTGGACATGGATCTTTGAGCTTTTTGCTCACGGAGATCTGTCCTTCAACATATCGGCCTCGAGCATGGCACTTGAGGCATTCTGCCATCATGCCCTGTCGCTGCATTCGATGCGACTTGTGGCCGGCCCACTCGGAAGGGGAGAGAAGTCCAAAGTGGCAAACTTCTCCCACAAAAGCCTCAAATGCAGACTCGTTCGTTCTGGCAAGAACGTAGGAACGACACTTTGTACACCGTAAGTACGCACGGTCAAGCCTCAAAAAGTGAATGCCGTCCTGTGGTTCTTCCTGGGCGTCGATGAGTTGCTGTATCACCGACATTCTCGGAGCCTTGGGTGCCTTGAAGATCACCGGCTCCGTGCAAGCCTTGGCGATGGCCTGCTTGATCTCCTGGAGAAGGCTTTTCACGTGGATCTTGGTCCTGCATTGGGAGCATTGCGCTCCGCTTCTGTGAGGCTCCCACTGGTGTCCTTGATGCTCCCTGTTCTGAAGCACATGTGCGATGAGGTCCCTTTTTTGTTTGACAAGTGGGATGCGGCCCTGAGGATCGACTTCAGTCTTCTTCTTCAAGAAGTGGTTGGGATCCTTGAGGAGGATGTCCATGCGCTCTGCTGCAACCATCAGGATGTCTCCAAGATCCTCATCAGTGGCCTTCTGGTAGGCTAAGAAATCTTTTGGGACTTCTTCTCGAGCTCTCTGTTGTGCCATGGCTTTGATGGACCTTTGAAGGGCCTTCCTGGTTCTCATGCCTTCTTCTTGTTGAAGGTGGTTCATGAAGAGGAGTGGCCTCAGCGTGTCAAAATCCTCAAATTCCAGACCATGATACAAGTCAGGGAACTTCTCATAGGCGACATGTGGCGTCCACGCTTTCCACAATTGCAGACTGGAGACCCCGACGTGCGCCTGATCGAGGATGTGGAGAGCCAGTTGCTTGGTGACATAGAAAAGAGCCCTCAGTTTGGTGGCTTCCCCAGGACAAATGCCAGTGATTGAGGCCACACACTCTTTGGTTGCAATCTCATAGATGCCGATTGCGAAGGTGTATTGTTGGTGTCGTTTGTCCGCGCATGTGAGGGCCACATCAAGGCAACAGGCATGGCCATGGTTGACTCTGCAAGGATGAAGGTCTTGCCATTTTCCGGTGCCAATGAAGGTGGAAGGTCCTCCATGTCGTTCCAGGAAAGCCTTTTAACACAGACCACGATTCCAAAGCTCAGGTTCGGAGTTTGTGGTGATGCGGTCTTTCCATTCATCAGGGATGTCTTTGACCTTGCCCTCCCAAAAGCTGCACTCCCATAGGAGATGGACAAAGGTCAGCTCCGTTCCGCACAAGGGGCAATTGCCGTGAACACCATGAAGGGTTCCTTGATGAAAGGCTCTCAAACCAATGGCGAGCTTGTCACTTGTTTCTTTCTGCAACTTCAAGCTGATGGTCCAATCCAATGGTTGTTCAAGGTGCTCACATCCATTGTACTTGGTGATGCGGATGAGGCGTTGCCAACGGAATTCCTCTTGGAGCTTCATGGACAGCTCTGGCCACATCATGTCCAATGAGATGTTGCAGTCCGGGATGGCTCCAAAGCCAGGTCTGCTCCAGTTGTTGCCATCTTGAAGCCATAGTCCAAGAGATAGGCTTGCAAAGCCTGGAGTGGTCCTTTGACGACCTGCCATTTGTACTTCGCTCGCAGAAGGGTGCTGAGCGACAGGTTCCAACTGGACTTGAAGAGATGCTGCTTGGCTTCATCGAAGCTGTGATAGATCTTCCAGATCGTGTGAACATGCTGAGCAACGATGGAATCTCCTGGATCAGGATGCTTTTTGTTCATGTCATAGACAATGTCAACAGAACCTGATTTCTGTAACCGAAGACCTCTTGCGGCCATGACTCTGATCTGATGCCTTCTTTGAGGAGCGAGTCCTTGGGCTTGAGCTCCCCATGTCATGACAGGATGAATAGCTCCTCGATGCAATCGGTACCTGATCTGTGGGTTGAGCTTCAATCTGTGGACTATTCCGGTCCTTGCTTTGCCTTTGTTGAAGCGTTTCTTGACCATGGCAACTCTTCTGCGCTTGCTTGCAGTTGCATCAATGCCAAGGTCACGAAAAACATCATGTAGATCAGGATCTCCAGGACCAAGGATTTCTTTGAGAGCTGTCGCAGCTTCTTTTGAGCTCGTGAGGAAACCTGTTTTGTCAGTGTTGAGCCGTAGTCCTGCTTGAGTGAGATGGTGCTGCAGGGATCTGAAAGCTTGAGCCGCTTCAGTGGCAACATAGATGGGGTCGTGTCCTCGAACATCATAGGAAACATCATCAACCCATGTTTGGAGAAGAACTGCAGGGTGATCTCTGACCAGATCCTTGAGTGGCTTGTATAGCACCAGCTTGGCAATGGCAGGTGCTTGAGGACACCCTTGCAGGATTCCTTATTGATAGTGCTGTGGGTCACTTGTGATGCCCTCTGCTTGAATGATTCTTGGTCCTCGGTATAGGTCGATGGCCAGCTTCAAGTGAAGAAGAGGATATTCGAGTTCTCTCGCAGGGGCGATGAGGTTGTCCAGGGTGACAGTGTCATAGAAGCAACTGAGGTCTGCTAAGCAGGTGACGGTGTGGATATTGTTATGCTTGCATAGTTCACTTTGAAGCATCCTCCCAACAGCAATGGAAAGGCAATCCTTCTTAGGTCTTGCATGATCCCAAGGCATGATGGAATCGAGAGACAGCTGCCACTTGACAATGTCCTGTTTCCTGACCCTGTTCCATAGCCTGTAGAGACACGAGGTCAAAGCAATGGGCCTCTCCACTTTGGGGTTCTTTGGAATCATGACAATGCTGACCATGCGCAACTGAGTGGGCAAAAGTGCTTCCTGCTCCATGGTGTTCAGCAGTTTGGCGAGTTGAGTGACAGCTTCAAAAGGTAGCTGTTTGAGGAAGTCATAAGAGATTCCATCCGGGCCTGAGGCTTTGTTTGGCAGTTTCTTGATGACTCTTTGAAGGCTGATGGGATTGATGGCCTGCGTGTCCCTGGCCTGAGCAATGGCATCTTCACGAAGTTCTCGGAAACCTCGAATGACACAAGGTTCGTCAACTGGTTGCCAAATGCTTCCCCATTGCTCCAACCGAGCTTGTAAGCGTTCCCAGATGGGAAGATCCTGGAAAGGCCTCTGCCATGGGATGTCTTTCTGTCTCAAGGATCTGAAGAGGCCTCGAAGACCTTTGGAATGAGCATTTTGTAGCCATAACTTGTACTCTTCGGTGTTGGCCAGCGCTACCCCAACATGAGCTTGGTGTTCTTGAGAGAGGACCAGGTTCTGTAGATGTTGAGGATCATTTTGAGGTTTCTCCAGCGTCTTGATGAGGTCCAGGAACTCGTCTTGGTTGAGATCCTCAGAGCTGTATTCCTGAACGCTGTTGAGCATGGTCAGGAGATCCTTTTTAACCCCTTCATGAGGAGCATGATGCAAGACGTTGATGCGGACCGCCATTTTCTCCCAGAAAGCAGGTCTTCCTTTCTTCCAAAGTTGTATTTGATGTGGTCCTTGAAGAGGAGCAGTGAAAAGATCCACCCGTGAGCCTCTTCCCAATCTCGGATGCTGCAACTGCTGTGTGAGATAGAGCTCGGACTGGGTACACCATCTGGCAAGATCTGTGCCCAAACCAGTGATCTGATAGTTCAAGATGTGGAAGGGACCATTTTGCTCCGGGAAATCCGTCCAAGGTATCTCAGCAGATAGAGCTCTTCCGATGGGTGGAAAGGTCCGCAGTTGCTGGACTGGAATGGCTTGATTCTGACAGGTGAACTTGACGTTGAGGGCACAATGAGGTCTCCAAGGAACATCCCAAACGTTCTCAAAAGAAATCGCCCCTGCCAGCTCATTTGAGATCAGGAGAAAGTCCAACTGACTGCCCTCTAATGTAGTGGGACCTTCGGATGCTCTGATGTGGGCCTTGAACTTGCTCTGAATGACCGTGGCTGCCAGTTCTGAAGGAGGATTCTGCCAATCTCCTCCACTGATGAAGGGCGCCTTGAGGTTGCCCAAAAACCCAAAGAGATTGGCCAAGATTTCCGCATTAGTGGCAGATTGAAGACTCTCACCAGTTTTGAGATAGAGCTGAATGATGGCGATGTGCATATCCTCTCGCTGAAGACCAACTGCCATCCATCCATTGCCTTCCAGATCAAAGTGCTGAAGATCGTGAACATGATGATGTGGTGGATGGAGGCATAGGAAACCGCCAGTGGTGCCCCCTTTGTCAGTGTTGGCGGCTGGAACCGCGATGCCTTTCCAGCCTCTGACGATGAAGTACTGGAGGGCCTCGTTGGACTTGTTCAAATTGAGGTGAGTTTCCTGGAGGAAGAGGAGGTGATCCGCCTTGGACCAGACCCAATCCTGAACCTTCTTCCCAAAGGTGGTGACATTGGCAAAACACAAGTTGATCTCATCGTAGTGTGTCTTCTGTTTTTTGGGAGGGGGGCTTTCCTCAGCCACAAAGTCAACCTGCATCTCATCATTGGGATCGAGAATGAGCCAAAGTTGGATGACTTCTTTCCCATGTTGCTCCGACAAGTTGCTGATGGGTTTAGGGAAGATGTTGTCATTTACCAACCAGTAGGCGTTGTCAACAGCATGAATGGCCATGAAGTGTCCACTGTCATGCGTCTCCCCTTGATGCAGCACCATGGCCAGGACACGATAGTAGGCTTTGGCGACCGCGATGCCATCGTTGGAGTAGGGAAGGAAAACTTCGGTGGGAATGTGGAGCTCCCTGTGGTGTTTCGCCCATTGCTGCTGCACGAGTTCGAATCTCTGAAGATGGAGAACGAGGCAGTCAGGCTGACCGTAAAGATATTGTCCCTTGGCTTCATCTGCCCATGAGTTGAGCAGAGTTTGGAGATCAATCTTGTTGGCTCCTGGTGGGAAAAGGATGTTGAGTGGGACTTGTTCCCTTTCTTCAAGAATGCCATTGCTTCTGACATGGAAGAATTTGCTTCCAATGGCGATTGGCTTTGCAATCGACCACATGTGGCCCACAAAGTCTCCAACGTCAGCTTGAACTGCATGATCAAAGTGAGTCCAAATGTCGTGCATCTCCGGAATTTCAGTCAATGAGGTGGACTGAGAGGAGCCCAGGAAGGTTCTGAAAGCTTGATGTAGGCGACCCCACATCATGGATGGATCGGCCACGAAGCTACTGACCCAAGCCCAGCATCGAAAGGCCGCATTGCTGAAACAGAGGTTGCTCGAGTTGCTGGATATCGAAGTGAGATTCTGTGCAATTAAGCCAGTGTTCCCACGGATGTGTGGGAGATCCCCTTGAAGACCCAGTTGCCGGTGCGCCAAGTGTTCCAACCTTTGAAGGTCAGAAAGAAGCTGCTGCCCAGTGTCATTGTTGGACTGGTAGAAGAATTGAGTGCACGAGTTCATGAGGTCCTGTTGGGTGAGCTCAAAGAGTTGGCTCTGTGCTTCTGAAATTTGGAGATCTTCATCCTTCGCCAGGATGTCCATGAAGGCTCTAGCAAGTGAGTGACTTCTGGAGGTCCCGTTACTAGCAGGATTCCGAGGAATCTGCTCAGAGGTAGAGGAGCACGGTGCCTCCGCGGTCACTTCTTGCGAGCTCAAAACTGCTCCGCCAAAAACTTTGGGTGTCCTCAGGGGACCATAGCACGGCGGTGAAAGGTTCCTGAGGCCCTGATTTGAGCCAATTGCTCTGTCAACTGGATTGACAAACTCCCTGCAATCAAGTTGACTGAATCCCTCATCAATTGCCGTAGGAGAAGACAATTGACAAAACCCCAAATTTGCAACAGGGAATTGAGATCCTCCTGGGAGGGAGGAGGGAAGGTTACCCACAATGCTCTCCGTTCTCCGTGTCCGTCTTGCGGCGCTTTGCTTCATCGGTGGACTCCGTTTGCGGCCTTTTGAGCATGACCTGCAACTGCGACTGCTGTTCTGGTGTTAGATTCACACCGAGGTTAGTGATGAAGCCTGCAACTGCATCCGGCACAGGGTCAGACATATTTGCATCTGACTGGAGGGGAGTTGCGGTCACCTCCGAATTGACCAGAGCCATGTAGGAGGCGCTGGTCTGATTAAGGGCTGGTCTGAATGGCCTTCATCTCACCCAAGAGGTCCTGATAGGCTCGTTTTGTGGCATCGATCTTGCCCTGAAGGTTGTGTTTCTTGTGTGACAGATCCTTCAAGGCAGTAACTGGCTGCTTGAGCCTTCCTGCAACTTCACGTTCCGATTCAGGAGGTGGAGTCGTGATTTTTTCCACCAATTCTCGGACAGGAGTAGGAAGTTTGGTCAAGTTCTCCCTCAAAACATCCTGAAGATCCGGTTCTTTGGGTTTGACCTCCGAAGAAATGCCCAAGTCAGTCAATTTACCTCGAAGCTGCTCATCAAGAGTTGACCATATGGGTGCCAGGAGTTCAGTGGCATTCTTCTGGATCTGAGAAGGTTTTTGAAAACGCGGTCTTCCAAGTCCGGGGGGTGGAGAAGGCCGTCGATGTGGTGCTCGGTCCCATCGGGTGTTGCGTTTGTCGAACTTCTTGAGGGCAAAACCGCCTGGAGGCTTCGGCCATTCATTGCCACATAGCCTGCAAGAAAAACCTTGTTGGACTCGATCACACCAAATCCAATTTCTGCATCCGTGAGCTTGGCAGCATTGATAGGGCCGATGTCTCGCTGTCTCCATGTAGAAATCGCAGAGGCCACCGTGGAAGGAGACAGGAGCGATGTGGAGGAAGGCGCGTAGAGCCCAGCGCTGCCGCCAAAGAAGCTTGAGCCAGACAGCTTGAGCCTCAAACAGTTATATATATATAACAAATTATATATATGCAGTATACATGATGCTGTATGTGATTAGTAGGGACCGTCCAAATACCAATTATTCGGTAGACAGACTTTGTGTTTGCACAGTAAAAAACAGCAGTAGAGGCACTGTCAGTGCGAGACTCAAGGACTGTAAAGTTGCTCTGAGTTGAGCACAAAAAGGCAGTCTGTCAGTGTCCTCAGAGCTGTCATGACATTGTGCAACAAGCAGTGGTTCAAGCGAACTTGCCCCGCACAACTTTGTGGTCCTTGCAATGGAATTCAAGCAAGTGAGATTCAAAGAATACCCAAGTCTTTGCGCTTCGTGGGCACTTGACATCGGGGACAGAGCTGCTTTTGCCGGACCCTCTAATTCAGGCAAGAGCCTTCAAATAGACATACTCTCCGGTGAAGCACCTCTTCTATCTGGACATGTTGTTTTTCAACCAGACATTTGCCGACTTGCAATATTGCGCAGTGGCTGGGTGGCCAGCGACAAGTGCTGCACTGTGAGGGAAGAGCTGAGTTCTCTTGACCCTTCCGTCCGTCGTGGAGAGTTTCTTTTACATGCAAGACCATGTTCGTTGGTCGTGGACGTTGTGGGCGGGCCATGTTTGACGGAGGCTGGTCAGACAAGCCAAGTAGAAGTCGACCGAGTCCAAAAGTGCATGGAAGACTTTGAACTGGATGGAGACGCTTCTTTATGTGATTTGTGCCAGAGCGACCTAGTGCGCGTGTCAGTGGCCAAACTAAGCATGCAACAGCCAGATGCCCTGCTGCTGGATGATGCGACAGAAGGTCTGGATGCTGCAAGCTGCAACTGGCTGGAAGACTTCTTGGCCTGTAAGACTTCCTTCAAGATCGTGCTTGTTGCATCGCATGACCGTGGCTTTATGGACAAGGCCTGTAACAAGGTCATCGCGATACAACGCCATGAAACGAATGTGTCAACGCATGTGTTCAATGGCAACTACACGAGTGCATATTTGGCTGGTGGCGACTTTCTCCACTTCCACTCCTTCAGTCTTTGGCAGCCAAAATCCTCAGGACTGCGGGCAACTCAAGCAGCTAGCGGCTTTGCATCCTTGGTTGCACGGGATTTGTGGGATCAGGATTTGCACCGATCTGTGACAGTTGTTGATGTGGGAACTGGAACAGGACTCCTTTCTTTGATCGTTGCGCAAGAATGGCAGCGTTGGCAGAAGGATCCGAAGCCTGACTTGGAACTATGGGCTATTGAGCTGGACGAACCTGCTGCGAGAATAGCTACAACCAACTTTGCTTCATCTCCCTGGCAAGACCGCCTACGCTTTGTACATGCTTCATTTCAAGATTGGACTCCTGAATGGCAAAGCAATCCGCCATCTGTGTTCCTATGCAACCCTCCATACAATGATGACCTGGTAAATTCCAGAGCTGGGAGTGAAGAAGCGATTCTTTCACGAACACGTGCATTGGACAGGTCTTTTCTCCCTTTGGAGGTCTTGTTCGATGGAGCTAGGAGACAAGGTTGCAAGACCCTCTGGATTTTGTGGGGCAATGCTGAGGCTTCTTGATTGCAATAAGGTTCTGTCGTAAGCTGCAGCCAAGCATCACTGAACCATTTCTTAGCACCGGATGATGCCAGACACGCGCCTCTTCTTCTTGTGTTGAGGATGCTCCGGTCTTGCTCGCCGCTGCTCATATTGGCTGGCAAGCAACTCGGCAGATCAGATTTCAACGTAACCCCCACAGCATTCAGCCATTTGCAACTGCGTGGAAGTTTGAGCTGGACACTTCCAAAGCTCCACCGGCTTGTAAGCCAGAGAGAATCTTCTGGCAAGACCATGATGGGACTCCATCAAGCGCTTGGTGGGAACTTGTTGGATCTTTGTACTACTGGCACTTGCGCGACAAAAGCAGAACTGCGCAGAAAAGTCCGACTGTTTTCATTCCTTCTTCTGCACAGTCAGCTCCTTTGTGAGGACACCTTAGTTGGAGCTGTGAGCAGCCACAACTGGGCCGAAATGGCGCTCTTCGGAGAGAAGGCACATTCAAGGGAAGGTAGGATGAGGAGCACTGTTATATAATTATATAAACCCTTTGGGCTTAAGAGACTTCTTGTTCCTTATTATTCTTCCTGATGTGCCTCACAGTGCTCGTTACCTTGTGATTCCGATTCAACCACCAGGTGGGATGCACCGTCCTTGCGGAAGCAGCTCTCATGACCGGGTTGCGGCAGCTGCTTCCGCACCTTTTGGTCCGGCACTTGGAATGAGATTTGTCCGGCAAAGCTACTGCATTGTGACATCCGCTGTTTGCCGACTCGAGGCATCATTTCGAGTCCCGACCGGCCTGGAGGGGCAGAAGGCAACCTCAAACGCCTTATGCCTCACGCCGCACCCAGAACAGGTCCAGGTAGCTTTTGTTTGCTCCGAGTCTTCTGGGTGTCAGGGAGTCGAGCAAGAGCAGCCAGAGGCCTGTCATACCGAGTCATACCGATTCATACTTGTCAATCTTTCAATTTTGTGTTGCGTGGCTGAATGCAGCTTCAGCTTTTGCGAATTCAACAAAAGCAGTGGCAAGAAGCAAGATGATTGAGGCAGTCACGTCTTGACACTGTCTCTGGAGTCTACAGAGTCTAGAGATTCCAGAGCAGAACTTAACAGCTTCACCGACTAGCCTTTCTGCCATGATGTGTTTGTATGCAATTGACAAAGGATGTTTACATGGTAGAAAAGGATCGATTGAGACTGGAAGATTATTCCTCCAGGCTGCTGGAGGAGTTCCTTCCGGCAGTGTGGAGGTGGAGCTCGAGAGAAAGTCAAAAGGCTCAGAGAGATTGGCATGATGCCTCCAACCTAAGAGCGATGGCCTTCACCGTAGTAGCGATGGCCTCCAACCCTAGTAGCGATGGCCTCCAACCCTACTAGCGATGGCCTCCAACCTACTAGCGATGGCCTGCAACCTACTAGCGATGGCCTCCAACCTCAAGCAAGTTTTGGTTTCTTCGCTTTTTCTTTTCAAAAGAGTCGATGAATGGAGTTGCATTCTCTGTCAGTCATTCTCTTGATTCATGGAACCACAGATTGAGAGCTTGTGCAGAAGAACCAACATTTGAACCAGCAGAACAAAGTGGTGCTTCGGTGCTTCTCAAATCAGTGGGCAAAGGTGGGTTCATTTGCCCAGACAATTTGGACAGCTGACAACTGTCTGAGGTTGATGGAACTTCGCGGAAGCAAACAAGCCTTGCATGCGAAGGCTCTTTGTGGGTTTGGATCCAGTCAAGACCCCCTCACAACACACAAGCACAAGACGATCACAAAGAGAGGAAACATCTTCGCAGAAGCTACAGCATTTGTGGGATGTAATTTGTGTGCGGGTGCAGGGTGCCAATTGGATCGTGGCATATAACAGAAAGTGTAGGCAATAAATTTAATAGAATCGACTTCATGGAGTGAAAGCAACCGCATGTCTTGATCCAACCGAGTAATGCAGGCAACACTGATGACCCTGAAGAAGCCTTGCCAGCATGTTTGGAATTGTGGACCTTCATAAGACCTGGCAGCTGACATGTTCAAATAGTTGTTTGAGCAGTTTCCATGCACCTTCTGTGCCGCAGATTTCTTTCTTTATGCCGCAGCCACTTCAAGAGCGAAGAAGACCGTCATCCCACCTTGCTTGCTCTGACGAACATGGCACCAACCTGCTTCAGCGGTTGTACCTTGATTGCTTATGAGCCTGAAGCAAGCTCACAGATAGTTCACAAAAATGCCTCCACAAGGTCCACATTTTCTATCTAGTGACTAGTGATACCATTTTGCAGCACGTCACACATGCAAAACACAAGATGTAGAGATCTGCTGGGACTCAAGTCATTGAGATGTCCAAGCTCTGTGAGTGACCAGGTGCTCGTGGCCTCCCAGAGTTCTTGAAGGGAAGAGGCTGTCTGCGTGGATTGCGGGACAATCAGAGCGCAGCACTAGCGGCATCCAGACAGGCCGAGCCTTGCATGTCTTTAAGATAAACGAGCCAAAGACTGAAACAAAACGAGTCAAAGAGGAGACGACAAGGACGAGTCAAAGACACAACGAGACGAGCCTCAATCATTTTGAGGATCTTTTGGTGGAAAGAGATGGCGCAGCAGCCTCAATCCCACAGCTCAGCTGTCCTGGTTTGATCTCCAGAAGTCAATCGGCCATCAGCGAAGAGGTGCAATCAGGTGCTTCTTTTGCCATGGAAAGGCCCACTCTTCTCACTGCCAAGGCAGGCAAACCAACATGCGGCCATCAGCTTTGTGCGTTCCTTTTCGGCAGGCTTTAGTGCAGCACAAGAAAGCCTTGGGTAGTGGCGTCCAAGTCCGGCTTTTAATATCCATCAAACGATTCTGTTTGTGTTTCTTCCGATTTCTTCGAGTTTTTGGTGCTTTTCAATTCTTTGGTCAGATAGGTGGAAGCTTTGGGGGTTCTTACTTAGTTACAATCAGAAGTCTAACAACCTCTTGTCCCAAACTTGAGCTTGTTTGCCATCTGTCTCCTCCCGTCATGCTTGGCGGACTGTCGCAGCCACGGTTTGGCTGTCTCGAAGCTTGTCTCCAGCTTCTCTCCCATGATATCGACGTAGTGTCATAAATGCATTCTTTTCAATGGTGCCCAGTGTACCCTCCAATAGTATCGTTTGAAAAAGTATTCAAAAGCTGTACACTGGGTACTTTTCAAAAGTGCACCGGGTTCTTTGAGAGAGTATACCGTGTACTTGTGGGTGTCTCCTTTGCGTCTTGGTAGTGTCTTGGCCGTCTTGGGTGGGTTAATTCATTTTGATTAATTCAATTCCTTCCTTTCTTTCTTAGTTCAAACATACTTATATAGAGCGTTTTTGAATTCAGGGTCCATTTAACTGCGCGACCTCGTGAGGCGGTTTCACCAAGGAAGGAGACCAGCGCTCCAAGTCCTTTAGGCAAGCTCGGTCCAAGTCCTCGAGACCTTGACGGACCTGATGGATCACTCTCAGCATTGACCACTGCAACCGCTTTTGAAGAGGCACGCACACACACACACACGCTCTCTGAGACAAAAGACTATGTCATGTAGTGGGTCTGTACTACTCGTACAAACAAAGAACAATGATCACTTGTTGAGTTAAAATGAGAGATACTTTTTGCCTTCGTTTGAGACATTCATGAAGTACACAGCATGAGACTTTATGCCCGTTCTTGACTGAGGTTGGATCTCCTGGAAATGCTCAAACAACTTTTGGCTGTTGCATAGCCGGAGCTCCCAATCCGCGTTCTACCAATCTGGATTCCGAGTGGTTCTGGGACACCTCTGCAGCGGTGGGTGGGGGACTCAAGCATGTCAGACAGCACCAGTTGCTTATCGCGTGTTATTAATCTTAGCTTCAAGTTTGCATGCTCACGATATGAAGGAGAGGCAGCCTGGAATGGCGGGAAGAATGTTGCATCCTTCCTTGGTGAGCAGATCTACACAGCTGCAGTATTTGCACAACCACACCTGGAATCCATGGCAAGCTCCACAGCAAATGCTCTCAAAGCAGCTGCGGAGGACAGCATGGACAAGATCCGAGGCCACTCTTGGACCAAAACCCATGATGCTTGTGTTGAAATAGCATCCGTGGCCGAATGTTGTGTGCACCGTAGTCAGTTCATAGCATCGGCTGTGACCGTTTTGTAAGCAAACCATTCCCTGGCAGCCCTTGGACCAAGAAGAAGCAAGCTTGAGCGGGCTCGGGCAAGTATGGCCTTGCACGCACCAGTTCTACAAACACCTGCTTTGCCATCACTTCCTGAGCTCGATGCATATACAGCACAAATGGGCTTTGGCTTTGTAGCTCCAGGAGCAATCAAAAAACCTAACATTTTTTTGAAAGGAAGCTCGCAGCGTCCTTGCCTTGCTCCTAGTAGTAAGGCCAGGAGCCCCTAGTAGCTTCTTGTTACTAGTAGAGATGCCAGGAGCCCCTAGTAGCGTCCTTGCTCCTAGGGTGGCTGGGCAAAGTGGAGCACGTCCTGATCAAATGATTGAGCCAAACCATCAGTCTTCCCGCTCCCGGTGTGGGACCGCCCATACCACAGAGTTCTGAGCGATGTTAGATTTACAACCCGTTGACCTGGTTGGGACATAAAGCCAGCTGTAGATAGAACAAGAGAAGCTCGTCAAAAGCTTCATCTGCAGCACTCGAGTCAATTGTCAACTTCAAGCCCTTGGATCTTTTTGTGCCCTGTAATGTATTTCTTTCTTTCACAAGATTTGAAACCATGCATTACGTGCGCAGGACAGTCTTATGCACAGCCACCGACATGGTCCAATCCGGGACAGACGTTTGCTCATGAAGTGTTCACTGGCCAGCACAGGTTGGTCACAACTTCTCCTCAGGCTCCTCTTGCAACTGGCTTTCGGCCTGAGGGCTTGCACATGCCTAGCGATTCGTGGCTTCCACAGCATTCACATAGCTTTGCGTACCAGCAGAACCAGGCTGCCTTGGTGCCGCAGCAGTCGTATAGCTTGGGGCACAGGTACCAAGATCAACATGCTCTGATGGCACAGCACTCACACAGCTGGCATATGCATCAAGAGCAAGCTGCTCAAGTTGCCTGGTTGCCACCAAGAGCTGCTGGTGGCCATGCACAGTCTTTCACTTTGGGTGATGCCTCGTACCGAACAACTTCAGGTCGGCGACCCTTGGCACCAAACCGTATCAGCTCTGCTACAGGCTAATGCTCGACAGAGTGCCATTCTCCAGATTTCATTGGTTTTGAAGCGCAGCATGAGGCTGTCGCTTGCAAATTTGTATTCAGGCCATCAATGCATGGTTCAGCTTTAGATCCAAATGGCACGAACGCCAGCACTGCAAGCCAGCACTGCACGCCCCAAAAAGAGCCTCCCAAAAATCCTTCCTGATCCTTCGACGGGTGACTTGACGGATGTGCTCATGGCCGGCCTGGCCGACGGGTCGCTTTCTCGAATCCTTCGCCCAGGAGCAGCCCGTCACAGTTTTCTGAGTTGAAGATTCGACTTTCTGAAGCCATCACAGCCGTTCCAGGCTTAGATTGGTGAAGAAGCTATCCAGTTAGACCAACAGTGTCTTTCACACACTCTAGGGCCCTAGGGAACACGGTCAAAACATTTCTGATAACCTAAGCGGAGCCAGGACGCTACTAGGGGCTCCTGGCCATACTACTAGGAGCAAGAAGCTACTAGTTACTAGTAACAAAGGGCATCGCTACTAGGAGCAAGGACGCTACTAGGGGCTCCTGGCCATACTACTAGGAGCAAGAAGCTACTAGTAACAAAGGGCATCGCTACTAGCAGCAAGGACGCTACTCAGGGCTCCTGGCCATACTATTAGGAGCAAGAAGCTACTAGTAACCTAGGGCATCGCTACTAGGAGCAAGGACACTACTAGGGGCTCCTGGCCATACTACTAGGAGCACAGCAAGGACGCTATTAGGGGCTCCTGGCCATACTGCTAGGAGCAAGAAGCTACTAGTAACAAAGGGCATCGCTACTAGGAGCAAGGACGCTACTAGGGGCTCCTGGCCATACTACTAGGAGCAAGAAGCTACTAGTAACAAAGGGCATCGCTACTAGGAGCAAGGACGCTACTAGGGGCTCCTGGCCATACTACTA